TATTACTGACATTCATATCTGGGATGTGACTTCTAACGTGACTGAATATGTCTGCAGTAGGGTTTAGCTGCGGGCTCTGTAAGGGGCTTGCTATTGTCTGGGGCTGATTAAGTCGATGGTCAATGTATCCTCCTTGTGTAACAGACAATAGATCGTCCTTTACCGTATATATATATATATTGAAGCTGTTTATAAATAATATCCAAGGTTAGACAAAGCCATTTTTTATAAAAAAATTATTATTCAAAATTTAAAATAAGAAATTGCCATTTAAAATCTTATTTCGCAATAATAATTCTAGTATGATGAAATATGAGAAACGTTTTTTAATTTTTCTTAGTATTTTTATTATTAGCTGAAACTTAAATACTTCTAGTGTCACGCGTTTCAAATATTTTATTTATATGAGGATTAGTGAACTTCGTTAGATATTTTAACAACCGTGTGATACCGGCTATAGTGAGTTGCCCTACGATCTGAGGAGGAAGACCGTATTGAGTAAGTTTGCAGAAATAGTGGAAGTAGAATTATTTTAACCAAACGTATGTTTTATACTTTGAAGTTTAACTAAGAAAAATGAAACTCGCAAAATGTCATTTGGTCCACCAAAAATATCATCCTCTTCACCCAGTGACCAGTGTTGAGGCACCAAACAAACTAGGATGCCAATGAATTATGGATAATTGATATAAATACCAATAAATAATATTATTAATAATAGTAATACCGAGTAATAGCATTAATAACTATTATACTTACAGTTATTATAGTTTTGTTCTATATTATAGTGGGACCGGAACTGGCGGAAGCTTACGAATGATGAATTATAAAAATAAAATATAGAAATAATATATATAAGATAAAATAATTGCATATTTTACGATGTGGGGATGCTATATTATAAAGTACAAATAATATATCTGTTGTATTTGTATTACCTATGTATGCCGGTTGTTGCATAAATCATCATTAAATGTCATTGATTAAATTCAAATGTCTGAATGCAGATTACGTCACTAGATGTACATATATAATTATAATCCAGATATTTATATGGACTTGGATGAGACGCAAACATAAAAATATTAAAATATTTTACCACAACGTCACCGCTGAGTATAACTTAGATTGTTTGTTTTATTACAAAGATACACAACAGCCTTTCTCAGTTTCTGTCCATCATGTGGAATCAAACCACAGTTTTTAACGTTGAAAGCCCTAAACTTACAACTGTATGTGATCCACTGTGGTACCTTAAGTTGTTAGTTGTTATATTGTTCCAAGTAATATAGTGATTCACATGAATCTCCATTTTTCTTGTACTTACAAGTTTATAACCAAAGCTAAAGCAAACTTAAATATGTTAATGTACTGTTTTAGTCCATAACAATTTGAATAAGCCTAAAATTAAAACTGAAGTGAGTGAAGATAAAATTAACATAACATGGTACCTATGAAATAATTTAGACAAACATCAAGGCTTGACACTGACAGTAAATGCCATCAGTTCCCTGTAGTCCAGGGTATAAAAGTGAATCAGCAAGACCAAACCTTTATCTCTCCAACTAGAGAAACGAATAAAATCAGTTTTTATTAATATAGTTTTGCTGGTTTGTTTTTAAAAGATATTTATTTTTAAATAAAATACTGGTACTGAATCATAAACCTAATAATTTCTTGAAGAACCATATATTTGTTTGTGTTGTTTCATTTGTGCATGGCTTTGTACATCATCCAGTATTATAAAATGTTGGCTTTTGAGCAAAGTGCTCTAGTTTATCAGTGTGTTGTTTTGCTTTGTGTTTAACAACCTTTATTTTATTGAAATTATCAGATATTGTTTTTACAGATGTGTAATTTATTGTAAAGATGAATAGGGCATATACATCAAAATTAGACTCATGAAAAATGGTAGCTACAAAGCTATTGGACAAGTTATCTTAGAAGTTAGCATCAACATATCTTTACATATGGACAACAAAGAACCATTTGGTCTTTCAGAGCTGTCATTGAGAAAGATGACATCAACGATACAACTACAATTGAACTATACACACAACATGCAACTCTTACGGAGTTACATAACCAAATTTGTTATAACTATCAGCTTTAAAATATTTAACTTTTAACACTTGTTATGAAAACTAAATAATAATTAGACAACTAAATGAACTAAATAATAACTCTTACACTAAATAGTCTTCTATATCCAACATCCATAGGTCAATCATCCTGTTAGAAAAATAAAACTGTCTTGACTGGAACCTAGCCTGTCCTATCTATATCTTAAGCTTGTGTCATCTTGTCCTATTATCTTCAGAATATAGCACAAAGAAATCAAAGGCCTTTGTTCTATCAATCCCTTGGATAATATTTTAAACTTCAATAAGATCACGTTTCCCTTCTTTTCTCAAAAGACAATAAGAGATCTTAACCTGTTCCTACAAGATAACCTTTTCATCTCCAGTCTTTCTTGCAGTAACTCCAATCTAAACCCTTTTCATTAAATCATCATCCTTTCCTAGATAAGGAGATCAAAACTGTATACAGTATACCAAGTAAGGCCAACTTTGGATTTGTATAGTGACTTAATTACATATTTTGCCTCATAATCAGTATGTCTATAAATACATCCAAAAATTCTGTTATCTTCAAAATAGCTTTACTCCTTGTAACAGAGCACTGCTTCAGTGGCTTCTCCACCATTATGCCAGGATCCTTTTCTTTAATCATGCTGTTGAGTGGGATCTCATCTTTATTAAAATTGCATTACCTTGATCTTTCTTTGATTAAAGGTCATTTGCCAAATATTTTTCCAACATATCAATTGATCCAAGTTATTCTCTAATATCTGAACATTCTCAGTACAGCTAGAAATGCCCAAGAATTTATTATCATCAGCAGACTTTCTAATTTTGGAATTATACCACTGTCAATGATTAAATAAGAAAAATTAAAGGTCTGAGCACTGATCCCTAAGGCACAATATTAGTACCAAGGATTTAGTTTGGCTGGATTCCATTAACAACTACTATTTACTTTCTTTCATCTAACCACCTACAATCCAATTAACTAGTCTTTTTCCCCTGACCTCAAGGGATAGCAAAAGAAGGTTTGGACCATTTTCTCAAGCTTTTTCAAGCAAGTTGATATTTGGAATTGTTGGAGTCAGGGATAAGCAGTGTAATTCCTTATGCTGAATTAATTAATCTAGTGATCAACACCTTAGAGCACTTGGATGGATAAAATAATGCCTGAGACATGTTGCCAATAAGTTGCTCTCATTTTGGATCCTAGAGAGACCTGAGTAATCCAAGGGCTATGTTTAGAGCTCAAATACGGTACCTGTGAGAACTTGCAGCTTATGTTATTCCCATGATATCAAAAGCCTCCATTCCTACTACTGCTCTAAAGTCATCTATTTTATTTCTTATTCTTCTAGCATTACAATAGTAACAATTAAGCCTATCCATATAACTACTTCTGTGCTCATTTCCTATGCTAAACTTTTGTCTGTATCTTATTCTTTTTGTATTTAGTTTTCCTGACCTTCACCACTGTCTAATTATAGTTTAAAACTCCCCTTACAGCTGAATCAATAGCCTTAGCAAACAAGCCAGCCTCTACCCTATTTAAATGTTAACCATCCATTCCAAAAAGCCCCTTTCTTCCACTGAACTGATCCCACAAGTCCAACCAGCCAATCTGCTCATCCTTACCTACTAACCTAAGCCTAGCATTTAGCCCTAGTGACCTACTTATAACTTATAACCTCACAGTTAATTCTGTGCAGTATCACTGACAAAATTAAGTTATGGCCTTTTTCTTTAATTGCTTTTATCAACCCCTTGTACTTAGTAATTAGCTCCTCTCACCAACCTTTCCTTACATCATTAGCACCTACATGCACCACAAAAACTGCATCTTTGCTAGCCCCCTTTATTATATCTCCTTCTCTGTCAGTTATATCCTCTCCCTATTTACCCCACAGACTATACTATCTACATGCCTTGTCAAGGAATCACCTATAACTATGATGTCCTTATCATCTACATCCTTGTTTGATCCTTTTGTTTTCCTTCCCTCCAATATTTCCTCATCTGCAAAAGCCAAGAGCTGAAATTTGTTGCTCAAAAGAATAGGCTAATTATAACTAAATTCACTACTTTTTACTCTAATAGTACTCTTTCTAACCTCCTGAAAGTCATGGTTAGCTGATGTATCCCTTGCATTTAAGAGCTTAAGTTCCGTTTGAAATCCTACTGCCATTTCCCACAGTTTACACTTCTCTTTATCCATTGGCTCTACTTTAATCATGATTGCCTCTAACTTCTCCTCCAACTTACAAACTAAATAAAAATTGCACATCTTCATTACTAGCTTTCTTAAAAGTACATGCTAGTCCCGAGTTCCCAAATAAAACCCACTCATTGCACCCATTACACCCAACAAACTGTGAATGCTTAACTCCAACACTAGTCTTAACCATTGTATTTATACTTATAGCCTGAAAATAAATACTCAATACCAAATACCAGTAGCCTTTGTTAACACTGTTACTGTTAAGCCTAATGTTTAAGAACCAATTATATTATTTTTTTATCACCACTTTGTCTTCACACTAAAGTAATAAAGTTTATCTTTAATTATACTGACATGCACACTACATCCATTATAGTAAGAAGATATCAACATTTTCAGAACTCAAAATTATATGCAATTCAGCTACTATTATATACTACCAATAAATGTAGGCAGTGATTCTTTGGGTATCTAATTAAATAAGAAATATTGGTATATATAAAAAAACAAAAAACCTTCAAAGTTCAGATCTTATAAAAGGAATATTTTCATGTATGATAAATCTGGAGATTATGTCAGAGAATGTTAATGTTAAAATGGTATTGACAATAAGTGTTTGACTCCTAAGGAAATATCATTGGTTTAAATATTTACAAGAAGATGCATGTAATCTACAAAAACTCATAGACCTTAAAGTTTAAGTTACTCAAGTTGAAATTATGTAAGTTACTAGAAAAATGTGTTCATGTATAAGGGTATTGTGTAAAAAAATGTTGAAAGGCCAGTTCTATAAAACGTTCACAAATATGATAGAGAAGTATTCAAAACCAAGTGTTTACAGGATATATTATGATAAGCTGAAGAAAAGTACACTTATAACACGCTTAAAATATAGATCACGCTGTAAGAGTAAAGTCATGTCAACTAAGTGTACAGACTCCATTTGTGGTCAAAGAATAAATGTTAATATTATCAGTTAATAAGTATTAGCAAGGATATTTTTATATATTTTAGTAAAACAGGTAGTAGTATATAAAGGTTGCTTGTAAGTATTGGTACATGTAGCACGATTTTATCTAGTTAAACCTGAACAAGACCACAATATATGAAATAAGCTCTAATTTCTTCTGTTAATACTAAAATTTTCTTTGTTATATGTTTGTATCTTCATTCATTCAAAAAATTTGCACATCAGC